ATTTAACTGAATAAATTGTTCATACAAAGAAACCCGGTTGTAAGTTTCCCAGTGCATACCAGAGTCACAAAGCAATTTTTGACAATATAACAGTCTCGAAGAGAATGTGAAAATTACTCAAAAAAGAATTTATAAATGAAGTCATATTCTTTGAATCTACTTCTTACATTACAATCAGGTCTAATGAACTCAGATAACAAAATCTGAAGCATATTTATTAACGCGTAATCTTTGGGTTTCCCCCCAAACTCTTTACATGTTCGAAAACGCGGTCAAATCTCAAAGATTGCACTGTCTTACAGAAGAATAAATTGGATTTCCAAATTCTAGATATATATAATATCAAACTCCTTAATAATAGAGTGTGCTCAATTTAAAATCTTACTTTTTTATTTAAAGTGATAAATATCTTATTTCTTAGAAACAGCTAGATTTGCCAACAGAATACACAGAATATAAGCCTTTAAGTTTTATTGACAAAAATCTTGCTAATTAACATATTCCCAAGCTCACTTTCAACAACAATTGACAGTGCTTTAAAAATGCATTAGTCTGGAAAGAAGGGGAACTAATTAGTAAAATTTGGAAGGCAACGCACTTTCAAAACAAGAGTAATAAGGACATTAATTGTGAAAGTTTCATATGTTTCTTTTGAATTCGTTGCCAGATATGAAGATTCTTTACAGCTAACACTAAGTAGTTTACATGTACAGTTATATCGAAAGTGAAAGAGTTTTACAAGATTTAGGCTGTTATGCGACATGTTTTTCACTAATAAGCAAGAGAGTTAAAATAAACTGTTACATTGACTTTTTATTTAGGCGGACTTCTTTTACTTCTTTTCAAACTTATTTGAAAGATTCAAATACAAAGTAAGTTATGTTGTTATTTGTGAAAAAAAAAAACCAGCGCAATGACATAATAGTAGTAAGATATATGTAATTCACGGATATTTGTTTGACATTCCTTCGAGAAATTTTCACTCTGATAGAGACGCCACCACTTCATGGTGGAGTGCTGCAATTTAGACCTGTGCACGGCAATTACGGCCATATTGAGCAGTGATGGATATTTTTTGTACCTGCACCTGCTTTAAAGGGACCTCGATTTACAAGATCTCATCCGAAATACAAACAGCCTTGTCCCGCAGTTCGAGCACGTGTCTTTAGAATAAACGCGCTAATCACTATGCCACGCTGATGACAAATGACGAATGAAAACATCCAGTATAAGATTGTGGCAGATATCAGACTTAGCCTCTCTCACTAGAAACAACTAGAGACCCCGATGCCATTTTTATTTGAGGTCACAGAGTATCTTTGATGCATGGCTAATAGTACCGGAAACAGAAACTTTCAGAGTACATTCAATGCAGAAATAAACACTAATATGTCTTGAAGGCCAGCTTTTGTTCATAAAACGTATGAATATATATAATCACTTTTTTTTTGTTATTTTTTTGTTTATTTATAGTTATCAGACGTGGTCCGGTTCTCATAACCATACATTGTACGTCATATTACAAGTAAACAATCAAATGATAATTCTTTGCCAAGGCTGACAGATACCATTGATGCACTTTCAGTGGCATTATTACTTTTGCCTAGTACTAAAGCTCCATGCATGTAATGAATCTTTAATGTCAAATTTCTGTCCTAAACTTGAGAGCGTTTAGAGAACTGTCAGTTCAACTTTCATAAGGAATTGCGGGTATTATTTTTCACTGACAGAATGTTTTCTTTTAACGAAACCTGTTGGTCTTCCTGTACATAACAGAGTGGCAAAGCCACGTACGTGTGTAAATTTGGCAATGAAAAATTAGGAATAAACGGAAATAAAATTAAAAGTTTTCATCTTTGAGTTTACTTCTTTAATTAGAATCAAGTTTAATTTATGAACTCGGTGACTTAAAAGTGAATTACATGTCCATGTTTAAATTCTACAAAATAATGTATATCAGAGAATCTTTGTTTTTCCTTAAAACTTGTTACATGTTCTAACACAACTGTCCTATATAAGACTGGATTTTATTTCCAAATTGTAAATCTACAGCAAACTTCCTTTTCTGATGGGAGATAATAAAGATAAAAAATAATGTGCTCATTTTAAGGTCTACCTTTTTATTTAAAGTAATATATTTCTTTTTCAAGAAAATCAAATTTTGCAACAGGATATAAGCCTTCGAGTTCCATTGCTAAGAATCGTGTTTACATTTTCTGATTTAAACCCATTTCTAACAATAAAAGTATTAATCTGGATTAGAGGGAAACTAATTTGTAAAAATTAGAAGGCAACGCACTTTCATAATAAGAGTGATAGGGAAATTGTGAAAGTTTCATATGTTCATTTCAATTCTTTGCCAAAAATCTTTTTTCTTGCAAACTCTTTACACGTAATGGTTTACAACTAATTATAACAGTTGGTGAAAGAGTTTTAAAACTGTACGTGGCTCTATGGTATTTTGCAATAGGAAAGACTATAGGGATGGGTTCATTAAGATATGCATATACTATGTTTCCTGACTGTGACATGGTTTTTAAAAGTAAGAAAAAGAGTACAAAATAGTCATTGACTTGTTGATTAGGAAGATTTTTATTTTTGATTAATTACAAAATTCTTTTTTCAGTTAGTTATCTTGTTAATTGTAAGAATTACATGGCAATGGCCTTATAAATAATCATAATGATATAAAAACGTCTCTTCGAGAATGATTGTTTTCACCCTTATGGGGACGACTCCACTTTTTGGATGGAGGGCTGCAAATTTAGACCTGTGCTCAACAATTAGATACTTTGAGAAGTGATCGAGGGATATTTCTGTATCTGCACCTAATTTAAAATGGAAACTATGTTTACAAGGTCTCGTCGGAAGGACCGACCTGCATGTAGGTTTGAACCCATTACGTGAGGATCAGCGCCTTTCTCCACGTCTCTAGAAACAAACGCGCTATGAACCACGCTAGTGACAAATGACGAATAAAAACATCCAGTCTAAGATTATGGACGATATCAAACAAAGCTTCTCTTGCTAGAAACAGAGACCTCGGTGCCATTTTTATTTGAGGTCACAGAGTATCTTTGATGGCTAAGAGTACCGGAAACAGAATCTTTCAGAGTGTATTTTGATGCAGAAATAAACTGCGAAGTCGAAGATTTTTGTTCATGAAACATATTGCGTATTTTTTGTTATTTGATACTGTAGTCCTCTATTTCTCAAAATTGGTTCTCTTTACCATACATTACGTATACATAAACTGTACAGCATATTACAAACAATTTCAACATTCAAAATGATTATCTTTGTCTTGGCTGAAAGATGTCTATTGCTGTACCTCTAGTACCATAGGCATTATTATTTTTACCAAACCTCCACTAAGTCTATATAATCCAAATTTCCCTATAGACTTGAAAGCTTTTTTGCCTCAACTTTTGTTTAGAACTGTAAACATTATTTTTGTGTCGTCAGCGGAGCAAAGCAGCATGATTAAGGAATCACTTTACCCGGCATCTGTCTGTCCGTCTGTGTAGCTGTCCGTCTGTCACATATTGTATCTCAAGAACCGTAAACGATATGGACTAAATATATATTTTGCATATTTATTGCTTGGCACTATGCCACTCAGAGTTGCAAAGTCAAGTGTGACAATAAAAGATCTAAAGTCAAGGAAAGAGAATGTGAAAAATACCAAAAAAGGAATTCAAAGTCTTCTTCCTTATGTTCCTTGAGTTTACTTCTTCCATTAAACAAAATTTGACTAATTGGACTTAAAGTGAAGAATTATACCATCTTTGTCTTAATTATACATGTATATAAAATACCGGTACATTAACCATCCCTGTTTCCTCCAACCTCTGTACATGCTTGAACATGCGGTCAACTCACATAGAGTGCATTGTCTTAGATGAGAATGGATGTATTTCCAAGTCTTGATCTACGGAAAAGTTCTTTTCTGGTGGAAGGTATTAAAACAGTATGAGCTCCTCCCTTTAAATCTACCTTTTTATTTAAAGTAATATTTTTTTTTCCATAAATTCAAATTTCGCAACAATTTATTAGCCTTCGAGTACGTATTATTGCCAGAATTCTTGCTTTACAAATTGTCAAGAACAAAAATATAGATATGTATATATTACTCTGTATAGAAGGGAACCTAATTTGTAAAAAAGTAAAATAGAAGGCAACACACTTTAAAAATTAAGAGTGATAAGAAAAATGTGAAAGATATGTACAATTCATTAAAAATCTTTGCAAGAAACCGCTGAAGGATAGACTAAAGGCCTTAATTGAGCAGCGAGGAATATTTTTCGTGCCAATGCGAAAGGGGACTTCATTCGGAGGAAAGGTCACCACGTTCTGCAGTCCATGCATGGTTTTCGAACCCTCGACGTAAGGATCAACTCCTGCTCTGCGTCTACAGAACTAACCCTCTAACCACTGCGTCACGCTGCGACTTTAAAATAATTCATATATATCAAACTCTGAATGAAACTTGGTTCTTTCAACATATCTCAGAAAAATATTGTAAATTTTTAAGACGTTTATCAAAAATGTTCACGAAACAAAATTCATACCAAAACTTGACATTGATTGCACGTATTTAGTTGTTCTGTATTTTTAAACAGATTTTTGTATCTTCGAACTCAGGCTCTTACTATTTCCTTTATGCATATTTTTTCCGCTACTTTTATATCAATACTTGATTTTTGTTGATAAACAATTGCGAATTCTTAAACTTTTTTAAAATCGACTAAATTGGTATACTAGAAGATCTATTTTTGAATTTTGTATCAACATCCTTTTTTGTCGGCTATGTTCTTCCGTCTGTGTTACTGAATCTTCTGTGATCGGAAAGACCTAAGATACTCAATGCACTTCCCTTTGAGTTTATTTTTTGTGGGCGTCAGTTTCCTCAACTCTAAATGAATTATATGAGAATTTTCTAAAATATTGCTGGTTGTGCTTACCCAAAACATAAAAAATAATAAAAAATAAATTCTTACCAGCATATCCCATTTCTAGAATGAACAAAATCTTGAAAAAGCACAATAAAATTTCCATTTTCGGCACAATTAATTATAAAATGACAACAGAGACAAAGTCAGAGTAAGCATCCAATCTTAAAGGAAGTTCTCACTGTACTATAGTAGTAATAAGAAGTTCTGGTAGAGTATCGGGCCATTTCCGGTTTATAAGCCGTTCATTTTAGCGTAATAAGGGGTGACAAAATGACTTTGTTTATACATGTACCACAAACTCCTAAAGATTTCCGGATCATTCTAAAGAGACAAGTGGAATTATGTTCTAATTATAAAAACATAGATAATTTTAATTAGAGCTTTAACATTATTTTTATAAAGAAACAATACATGTATATACCAAAATACGATATATAATTACAAATGCATGAACAGCTATATACAATGTATAATTTTTTGATTCCTGTTTCCAAGAAATTTATATATTTTTGATTTAAAAATACGTATATTAAGTGAAGTTAAGTTTGATTGATTGATTGTATGTTGTTTAATGTCCCTGTCGAGAATTTTTCACTCATATGGCACCACTTGCCGGTGGAGAGCTACATTGTACATGTTGTCCTATACTCGGCACTTAGGGCCATTGAGCAGTGAGGGATCTTTTTCGTGCCAGCACTTAGTTCGACACGGGACTTCGGTTTATACGGTCTCATCTAAGGACCGGTCTCCACGTCCCATAGTGGGATTAGAACCAGCGAATCACTAAAATAAATTATTTTCTACAAGTGAAAACCACTCTTTATAATCAATAAAATAAAATTGGATAAATCTAGGCATTTCAGGTCTCCGATTACCTTTATTATATATTATATTATATATGATACGGATAATGATTCATGGTTACATTTATTTTTCGGATAATCCACAACAAATTTAGAAGCATGGTGTACGTGTCCTCAAGAAATCGCAAACAAATTCAATTACTTCTTTTCTTTAATAATTAAGAGCTACCCACAGTTCCCCAACAAATGCCAGAAGGTTCATTTTCCATACCTTTTGTTATGAAAGCTTTCTGTACTTTCTATAACTCAAAAGCTACTGGTTTAGATGAAATTTCTGTTAAAATTTAAAGCAAAGTATTCGTGTCTTAGGAAATATTTTCATATTTTGAATTGTTCAATCAAGTCGGGTGTTTTTGTTGAAGTGGAAAAGTGCTAGGGTTACACCTTGTATAAAGCCAATTTTTTGCAACGTCGATATTACCTATCATAAGTAAAGCGAAAGACATGTTCACAATTCTTTTTATGAATACCTTACGCATAACAATCTTATCAATGAAAAACAATCTGGTTTTAGACCCAAGCATTCATGCGAAACAGCACTTCATAGTATAATCGAAAAATGGTTACAAAACATTGATAGTGGTAAACTTACTGGTGTTTTTTTTGTTGTAAATTACATATTTAAATTTGGAAGAAAACTATAACAAAGAAAATTAGACATAACTATAGGCGTCCCTCAATCTACTTGGGCCATTGTTCTTTATCCTTTATGTCAATAAAATGCTTAAAACATCACATGTATGCTGATGATACTTTCGTTTGTTATTGAAAATAAATTACAACGATCTTATCAATTAGATTGGATGGAGAAAAACAAGTTAACAATCAATCTTAAAAAAACTCAGTGCATGTTAATTGGTACGGAACAAAGATTAAGAAACGTTTGATTTTATTTGAAAATATATCTTCTTCTGACAACTTACATTGAAATTTTATAAATCTCAAAATATTTGACATTTTAAAAATCTTTAATACAATTGTTTTTCCCCATTTTAATTATTGCTGTACTGTTTGGGGCAATATGAAAACAAAGAAGGTCTTAGCATACTATGTAAACTCCAAAAGCATGTATTTTTCTTTTTATACACCTACATCGGAAATGTTTTTACACTGAGATGGATGCCAATTAATGATTATTTTATGTATAGAACTGTCATCCTTGTTTTTAAATAGGATTAACCCGATTATTTATATGTTTTTATTTTTTCCACTCAAAGTAATTCCTTTCAACTTTTATGGTTCCCAGCTATGGAATAATATGCCAGAATTTTTAAAGAATTGTCCATCTTTGCAAAGTTTTAAAACATCTTACATAAGAAAAAATTTTTATTTAAGATGATAATTCCAATACACAAACCATGTGTTTATAAACAGCTTTATAATTACTGAGTATATGTACATAACTGTATATAAGGACCACAATTGAACTAGTTTATAACTAATTTCTATTCTGTATAAATAAAGGATATTATTATTATTATTATTATTTATTTAATAATGTAATTTTTGAAGCCTTGAACCAATGTCGATTCATTGCGATATCTTTGTGCGCATACTTCCCTAAATCGACCCACTTGCTTTGAGTTCTGTAAATTACAATTTAAATTTAGAAAACTATAACAAAGAAAATTCTGATCTTACGTCGATTAAAATCTTACATGTTTTAAATAAAAAGATTTTTTTTTAATAAAAATCATTTAACTTTATTCTGAATACGCGGTATATTCTTTGCCCTAACTAGATGAATATCGTGACTAGGTCCCGTTAATAATTTTTTTTTTCCACTACTCCCCTCAACTATTCGTGAGACGGTCCAACAATTCCTCCTGTAAATACTTATATAAGGTCAATAAATAGCTAACAATGTCAAAGTCATAATTCAATTATTATTTATTGATGTCATTTTTGTACATGTATATATGGAATATATGTTAATAATGAATGTATAAAAAGAAATACAAATCAACTATCTATTAAAAGTTTACCTAGTATCTGCTGCATAACACAAAGATAATAATTGAGACTGTGTTCAATTATAAAAATACATGTATATTTAATTATTTATATATGCAGTCAATTTCACATTATCAGAACTTCCCATTTAATGATTAAATCATTTAATTTCTAGATCTTTGGTAAAATATTATGTATTAGCTATCATCGGTTTATAAACAGTTAAGCATAACAAAGCAGTACAGTGTATTTAAAATAAATTGAGAATAAATCCTTTCACAATTGTTTAGCTATGTCCATTTGTTGTTCCACGAAGGGCTTTTGCAGCCTGGAGTTTGGAACGCGCTGATGCAAATTTCTCCACAACCATTTTATTTTCCGGATCAACGTCTAATTTAGAAGTATCGGTCACGATTCTTGCTTTTATAAATCCTTTCATTATGGCGTCTTGGACTGGTAGTCGTTCATTGGTTACATTGTTAACATATTCCCCACTCTCTTTATTTAGAAGACCTTTATTCAGCGCGTCAGCAAAAGACACTTTTTCATTGGTTTTTTGATCAAGCACTCCGTGCACTGCATAAGTTCTCGTCATGCTTTCTGCTTCGTGATGCTCGCCACCATTTTGATATTCTACTTGGACAAGGCCACTCGAAATTGCATCATCAATGCTCATCAAATCACCAGTTTCTGTCTTGTATGTGGAGTCTGCTTTGTTAATAATTCCTTTGCTAACAGCAGCCGATAATGTCATTTCCTGTTCCGTTTTGGGGTCAATCACACGGCTGATTGTGTAAGGTCTGTTCTCCTTGGTTGTTTTAATGGATATGATGCCATATGATTTTTTCTCTTCGCGGATTTTCTTTCTAGATGTAAATTCAAACATGATGTTGCCATTGTTCATAGCTTCAGTAATAGAACAAGTGTCTCCTGTGTCTGGATTTATGTAACTGTTTGTCGTCTGGTCGATGATTCCCAACATAATGGCTTCTTGAAGAGTCAACTCTTTGTCTTCGTCACGTGGGTCAGTCACGGACGTTATGACGAAAGTTGATCTCTCCTCTTCCACTGATGACATCACCTGATCTGTTGATGTCACCGTTGTTTCTTCATAGGTTTGATAGGATTCTTCTTCCTCAAGAGCATCAACAGTGTCCATCTCTTGTTGAAGAGGCTGTTAATTATAGAAAATTTATCAAGATTCCTCCTTACAGGAACACAATATTCAGTATTTTACTTGAATGAAATAAGAAAGAGCCTTTTTTACCTGAACTTGACAGACAAGTAACTCTTCCAATGGTTTTCTGTTTTCGGACGGTAATGGTTCTTTTGGTGTTTCAAATAATGTTACAGAACTTGATGAAGTTAGATCATTTTTCTCCAGTTCAAGACTTGTGTCCCAAAACCTGCAAATTTATCTTGATATAACACACACATTTATACTCCTTAAATTTATCTGTTTATGTGAAATAATGGTTCAGCAAAATATCTGTTTCAAAATTAGTTAAGTTCATTTTTAATGCAAACAATACATAGTGAGCTTACTTGACAAAATGAGCTGAAGTCACGAATTTCAGTTCTTCCCACTTATCACACACAAGCAGGAACTTCGGTGACTTCAAAAGCTCAACAATTCCTTTGTACGTTTCCCAATAGGCCCAGAAATCCTATGCAACATACATTGTATATGCAAGTAAAAGATTGAAATTAAATGAAAGGTACACTGGATAATTAAAAGAGTAATCTAATATTCTTCTGAACACATAAGTTAGAAAGAATAATTTTTTACCTTGTAATCATTGAGAAGGTCTTTGAGGGACTTTATTTGAACAACAACTTGAGATAGCATTTCTGAATCTGCAAGAAAACATTGAAATTGCAGAGCAAAATATTGTTTTTAAAAAAGTCTTCAAATAGAAAATATTCAAAGTGGCTTAAAAACTCACCTTGTGCGACTGTTTTGTCATTTGGTTCCTCCAAAATCATGTTCAGTCGAAGGATTTTCTCTTGGAGCTCCTCAAATCCTCCATAGCCATTCCAGTTTTTGAGGAGTGTATCCTCAATGTATTTCAGCACATCAGTAAGTTCTTTCTTATCCTTCTCTGGCATACACTGAAGCATCTGAATCTAAAATGAATTGTAGTCTTGTATTAAGACAAAAAGATACAATGTCATGTAGATGAGTAAGATTCCCTGAAAAATAAGTTGTGGAAGAAAGAATGTGAAAGAAATGCTTAAAAGTGTGTGTTAAGGTGGAAAAAATGGATGAAGTGTGGAAAGAGAAGTCTTTTAATTTGGTGTAAACAGTGTTCTAAGTTGAGATGGACCATTACAAGTTTCAAGCAATAAATAAAATTAACTTTGATGAATATGCTAACCTCTTGAT